GGGGGAGCCAATCAGGCCACCCCGCCCCCTTCTTCTCCAGGACCCCATGACTCAGCGCTGGGAGCAGGGCGGAGGGGGACTGGGATGGCTCCTTCCTTACAGGCCCAGTCCCCCAGGCTGTCAAGCTTCCACCTTGCTTTCCCCCACCTACCCTTCCTTTGCCGCCCCCTTTGCATAATTCACTGCCAGGAAAAGGGAACAGAAACCAGGAAGGAGGGGTCTCGGAAGGGAGGGGCAGTTCTTCACCCCCTTACACAGCCCAAACCCCCAAGGGGCATAGGGGCGGGGCAAGGCTTTGGTCCCAAGCCCCCACCCCCTAGAAACCCGCATAGCCGAAGTGGGACCCCACAAATCAGAAATACATTATTGCTTCTACTCCCCAAGAGCAGCTGGGGTAGGAACCCCACATTTACAATAGAGCTGTAAATATATACATATGTGTCACTCCTTGGGGGATCACCTCCATTTGGGGAGCCTCTGCCCCAAAACCTTCTCAGCTTGGAATTGGAATGAGGGCTCTGGGGGAAGGGGCTGATTCTGGTGTCAGCAACACTCAGTGCCCTGGGCCCATCTGTCCTGCATGCTCCCACTGCTTGGCATGGGTGTCCCCAGCCTTGTGCTGCTCCAGCCTGGCCACTGGTCCCTCTTTAAGAGGACTCCATGGCACCTTCGGCCTGGGGTGTGGTGGGTGCCCCCTCCTCGTCATCGTCATCAGGGGGCCCTGGGGTAGAGACTGGAGGCCCAGTGGGGGCTGACTGCTCCCAGAATCGAGCTAGAGAGAGGCGGAAGGTGTCCAGGTGGCCGTTGGAGAGGTCGAGGCCGGCAGGGGATGCAGCAGCAGTGGAGGGTGGCGGGTAGTGGGGTGGTGCATCGTCCTTGCGGCGTCGCCGGGTGCGCACCTCCAGGCAGTTCTGGCCCTTGAGGTGACGCTGCAGGTGGTCCTCCTTGGCGAAAGCCTTGTGGCACAGGTGGCACTCATAGGGCCGGTCCCCTGTGTGCAGGTGCATGTGGTTCTTGAGGTCGTAGCTGTGCAGGAAGCGGGCTGGGCAGTGTGGGCATGAGTAGGGGCGCTCTCCCGTGTGCTTCCGCATGTGGATCTTCAGCTTGTCATTCCTGGCACAGGCAGGGGCGAGGGGGCAGAGGGATGTTCAGAATGGGATCCCTGGCTTGTCCTGGTCATGCTCCCAGGCCTCGACCTGCTCCATCCCTCACATTTGCTTCCTGTTACCGCCCCAGGATGCCCTTCCTGGGCACCAGATCCTTCACACCCCAGGTGTACCCCCTTGGCTTGCTTTCTCCTGTTCTCTCCTCAGGTAACCCACACCTGCTCCAGTCCCTCTGGGACCACCTGCCTCCGTCTTGGGCCTCTTGACTCCTCCCCGCTACCCCTCGCCCCCCCCCATGACCCCGCTGGGCCTCGTCCCCCCCATGGCCCCGCTGGGCCTCCTCCCCACTGGGTGCTCACCGGGTGAATCGAACGCCGCAGACCTCACAGGCAAAAGGCTTCTCGCCCGTATGGGTCCTCATGTGGCGTGGCAGCTTGCCTGCCCCATGGATGATCTTGTGGCAGACCGGGCACTCCTGAGGCATCTGGGAGCGGCGCTTGCGCACCAGCTTGTCTTGGCCGTCCAGGCCTGGTGCCAGGGCGTCCTGGTGCAGGGAGCTCAGGTAGGCCATCAGGTCAGGATCGATGGCATCCTCGTCTGAGCCCAGCTCCTCTGGAGACAGTGGGGGCCCACCGCCCTGTGCCAGCCCGTAGGCAGCGGGATACACCAACTCCTCCTCTTCTTCTTCACCTTCATATGCCTCATAGCTCTGGGGCCCCTCAGGAGGTGAGGCAGCCCCCGTGGGAGGGCTGTAGCTGTCTCCCAGCCCACTGGCACCACTGCTGCTCACTCTACCCACCATCTCCTCCTCCTCGTAGGTCAAGGGATGGTTGGGCACTGCAGGCGCCTCGGGGACTAGGTGGTTCGCCCGGGCCCCCTTGGTTTGCAGGAAAGCTTTTCGGGGCTTGCGGCTGCGGCGGGCAACAGGCCGGGGTGGTGGCGGCGGTGGCGGTGGGAGGGGTGCCTGTGGGGGGCTGTCTTCACCATTGGGAACACCAGAGGCCGTGGCTGTGGCAAAGGCCTCCAGGTATTGGCGGGCTCGCTCACAGTCATCCTCGTCGGGGCTGGGAGCTTCTAGCCCACTGCCCTGCAGAATCTCCATGCAAGCAGCGATGACACACGGTATCTCCAGCAGCCGGGCGGCCTGCAGCACAGCCGGCATGTTGGCGCTGCTGGTCGTCAGTGTGGCTGTATAGGCAAATTCGAGCAGGGCACCTAGCGCCTCTGGCCCTACAAAATCCAGCTCGCACACGCCAGCTCCTGCCCCCCGAGTGGCTGTCCCACCGCCCCCAGCCCCCCTGACCGCTCCACCACCGCCCTCCGTGAAAAGCTTCTTGAAGTAGTGACTGCAGGCAGCCAGCACGGCCCTGTGGGTGCGGTATTCAAGGCCCTGCGTCCGGATAGTGAGGTCACATAGGTGGCCCAGTTGGCGCTGCTCATTGAGGCAACTCAGAAGCTCGCTGCTGTGGTCCGGGAATGGAATCCCAATCAGGTCATCCTCGGGGCTCCCCATCTTCTCCTGCAGGGTCAAGTACAAAGGGAGGTTAAGAGCGCTCAGCCCTGCGAGGGCGTCTGGGGAAGGAGTACCAACATTAGCCAACATTATTGAGAGGGGACTACAAGCCAGACACTCTTCTAAGTACTCTACACCCATTTAATCTTCCACAAACCTCTGAAGTATGATTGTCATCCATTTCACAGTCAAGAAAACTGAGGTCCTGACAGCTGAAGTGACTTTCCGAGTTAAGTGCTGAAAGGCGGTGGGCCCAGAGTCCTTGCTTCTAGCCACCATACTATTCTATTCTGCCTGTGTGAGAACAGGAGCCCTGCCTTTCTGGCTCTTTCCTAGCGATCCATCTGTGTCACCTGCCCCATTCTCCATCTCTTTGGAAGGAGCACAGGGCTGGGAGACAAGATGCCTGGGTCCTGGTTTGGGCTTCATGAAGAAGTGGCTGAAGGACTCTCTGGTGGCTTTGGCAGCAGGCTCAGACATTTGGAAAGTGCGGTAATGGTCTTCACGATGGACCCTCCTCACAGCCTGAGGAGAGGCCAATGAGAGAATTCAGGTTTACCTTGGACCACGCTCTGCTGGAGGCCAGGCACAGCTAGGTGCTTTAACTCAAGTTATTGCTCTAAAGCATTTAGGACACTGTAAAACATGCAAATGAGGACGTGGCTCCTGAGCATCATCCTCTTCCTCCTTGCAACCCTCCCCCAGCCACCAAAAGTTCATCTCCTCTTCTAGATCCCCCCCTTCTAGAGGCCAAACGGGAAACGCAGCTCCCAGCATCCCTCCCCCCACATCCTCCCCTCCCCCACGGGGCCAAGGAGCAGCCACCCTTTGCTGGGGTGTCACTGGCTGTCGAGGGTGCTTCCTGCCCCGCACAGATAAGCATCGCCCCCGCCCCCTCCCCCACTGCCAATAGGCCAAGTTCCAGTCCCACCCCTCCCCCTCCCCCTTAGCTCCGACACCTCTCCCTCCCCATTCCAGGAGACCCCCCCCCCCACAGAGGGCCATGGTTCAGCTCTCTATGCTCTTCCCAGCAAGGTGCGGCAACACAAGGAGGCACAGAGTAGCCAGCAATCCCAAGGCTGGCAGAGGGGCAGGGCAGGGGCTGGGGCATGGTTCTGTCCTGGAAGGAGGTGAGACTGGCTTCCAGTTCTGGCTCCGCTATTATCTTGCTGAATGACCTTGGGCAAGTCATTTCTCTCTGTGCTTCAATGTTCTCAGCTGCGGAGCGGGTGGGAGTGGAGGCCCCAAGGGCTCGGCCCTTCATTCCTGACACTGAGTCTGGAGCAACTAGAGGCAGCGTTGAGGCCCGGTAAAAGCTGGGCTCTGAGTCAGCTGGGCTTGAGTTTGAATCCTGACTCTGCTGCCAGTTAGCTCTGTGATCCTAAACAAGTGATTTAATCTGAGCCTCCTTCTTTGTCTGAAATATGGGATAATTCCACCTGACTCCTAGGGTTGTGGTGAGGGTTAATGAGAACAAATATAGCACAATGCTTGGTACACAGTAGGGACCCAATAAATGTTCTGGCCTTGGCCTAGCCTGGAGTCAGATTCCACCATACAGATGGCCTCTGTTGAGAAAACTACTTAGAGACAGGTCTGCCTCCCTTCCTCCCTCACATTACACTGAGGGAGCTGAGTTATTGCTAGCCACATGACCTTGGATAAGTCACTTTATTTCTGGAGGAGGCCTGTTCCGCCGTCTGAAATATTAAAGGCTAGCCCAGATGATCCTCAGGACAGATCCCACAGACATTTTGTCAGTGTCCACTCTGCCACTCCAGCAACTGTTCAGCCCTGACCATTGATGAGGAAAGGGCTTTCTTTTTTTGGGGGGGGGGTGGCGGTTAGGGGAGTCAAGGCCACAGATTTCCTCTTTAGGACACAGAACTGCATTGTCTGAGTCTATCTCCTTGTCTGCCACCTTCATCACAACGCCAGAGTTGAGCAGCACCCACGTGTCTGTCTGCCTGTAAGCCCACCTGTTCCCACCTTAAATCCCTAACCGCTTCTCTCCTGAGGGGCCAAGCCTGCTCCCTTTGGTTCTCTCGCCTGTACTTTACAAATGGTACAAGTGGCAAATGACCCCAGGACTTGGGAACAAACAAAAACCGGGTGGGCTGCAGAAGCGTTGGTGGCAACAGCAGCGGCTGTAGTCACTTAGCAGCAGTAGGCACCCTCCTGGGCCCAAGTGGATCCCATCCCTCCTAAGGGGAATGGGTGGGGCTGTCCTCGCTGTCCATTGGCTGGGAGCTGGGCACCCGCAGGCACGTGGCTCGCCCTGTCCCTCTCCCTCCTTCCCTACCCACCCCACCCATTCCTGCTGCTAAGCCCGCCTCCTTTCTCCCACCCCAGGGCCGGTCTCCGTAGCAACTTGGAGTGGCGGGGGCGCTGATTGGCTGACCTCGCTGTCAGGTCACAGGCTTAGGCTGGTTCACCACGCAACTCACACAGGGATTGGGTAAGGGTGGGTGTTTAACTCCTTAGGCCCAAATCCAATGCCCATGGCCAAGAGGTAGCAACGAAGGAGGGGGAGAGGCAGAGGACACGCGTGGGAGGGAGAGGGTGTTCATATGGCTCTCCAGCTTCTGGGAAACTCCCCCAACCCTTACCTAGGGCTCTGGCACCCATGCCAATATAGGTGCCACCTGGAACTATTTTGGTGCCAACCAGGCCAAAGGGGCACTCCTAGACCCATCGTCTGAAAGGGGTGGCTGGGGTGAAGGCCTCCCCCTTCTTGCTGCCAGGGTGGGGCATTGGTGCCAGGGTGCCCATCCCACCTTGGGCACCCTTCCCACCTCTGCATCCTAGAGGGCCCAGCCCCCCGACGCCCCATGAAGGCGGCCCATCCCCACCCAGCTTGGCATGCCCCCTCTTGCTAAGACCTTGTGGGCATGGGCGTGTGTGGTGATGGGGGGTGCAGCTGTGCCAGGGAACCAGGCAAGGTCTGTTTGGTCTGTTTGCCTGGTAGGGGGAAGAACTGGGGGCCCCGCCCCAACGCTCCCCTCTTTCCCGCCACCCCCCCAGGCACCCCTCACTGTCAGGCCTGCTAGACCGGCCAAGCCGGTGGGCAGCTCTCTTGAAACTGGGCCCTGAGTCAAGCCTGGCCCATCTGTGGTTGGGGGAAGACTCGAGGCCGAGAAAGGTGGGAGGGGGGCAAAGGTGAGGTGCCTATCACCTACCCTTCACTGCCCAAGGGCACCTGCAGAGTATGTCCACCACCAAGAACCCAAAAGGTAGAGGGCGCTGGCCCCACCTGGGAAAGGAAAGGGAGCTGGGAATGCTCTTCAGGTGCTGACCTCAGGCACTGTCCAGTGCAGGGCTGGGGGGCACCAGGGCCAACGCTGCTGGCTTGAGCCAGCTGAAGGGCAGGGATAGGAGGCCCTGAACAGGGCAGCTGAGTAAAGCTGGCCCCCCTTCCCCCCACCCTGGGGATTAGGGGAGTGAGGCTTAGTGTGGGGGGCAGCAGGCGGAACCAGGATTAGCGGCGGAGAAAATAGATATGGGCCTGAGACACAGGCACACAGGGCCCCTCCCCAGGTTCCAAGGCCCCCACTTCTAGGCTCTCCCAGGGAGACCGAGCAGGGTCTGGCAGACTTCTCTGGGAGCAGCGGCTTGGGGTGAGGGAGGATGAGGACCAGGCTATAACATCTTCTGGCTAGGGATGATGAAGGGACCCTACGCTCTTCCCAACACTCCTGGTGCCTAAGCCGGCCACCCTCCCCCTTACTTCTTTCTCCTTTCTCCCCCCAACCCCCACCCCAACTCCAGCCTCAGGTTCTCTTCCTGTTTTTTTGGAGCTAAGTTTGCACGAAGCCAGGGCTTTGGCCTGTGGCTGGACCAGGGGGATGGGGAAATTGGACAGCCAGTCCAAAGTCCTAAGGGACCCAGGAATCCTAGATCCCCAGCTTCCCCCACCCCTTCCCAGGGCCTCTGGGGCCCAGGGGCTGCAGCCATCTGGACTGCCTTGTTCAGGAGGCAAGGGAAAGGGGCTGAGTCACATCCCACTGGAGGACTGGAAGGGTTTCCAGCGAGCGGTCCACTACCCAGGGATGCCCTGGGCACGTACAGAACCCTTCGCTCCCAATCCCAGCCCCTCCAAGCTTGTGCATGCCTTCCCCATCCCCCATATGTCGCTTTCCCCCTCCTAACCTCACCACCCCCAGCACTCACACTTCCTGGGGGCCGAGGCGGGGAAGAGAGACCGCAAGCCACGAAGGGGGAAGGAGGCGAGGGGAGCTGGCTGCTTCCCGGTGCTGTGGGGGTTAAGTCTCTCCCCTCTGGCTCCAAATCCCCCAATCCTGGGTCTGGGGCTCCTGAAATAACCTCAGTGCTCCCCCACATTTTCTTTCCATGACCCCAGCCCTGGCCCACAGTCTGTTAGGCCCCATCAAGAAAAATATGAGGGAGATAAAAGATGGCGGAGGAAGGAATGGGGGCAACATGCTCTTCCCCGCCTTCCTCATCCACCTGTGGCCCCTGCCCATCAGCCAACCCTCACTCTCGACCCTTTATTGGCGTCATCATTCTGTCCCCTTATCATCCCTCCACGAGATCCATCCTGTGCTTTCCTCTCATCAGCCCTTACCGGCTCCTCACCTCCTCTCCACCACACCTCCGGCCCTAGGTCCCCTCCTAGGAACCATCCCTACTGTCCTTTCTTTTCCCCTTTGGTACCCTTGCTCCAGCCTCTCCTTCCTTCTCCATTGGTTCCCTGCTTCAAGCATCCTTTCTCTTCTCCCCAGGCATGGGGGGACGGAGACGGGTAGAGGAACTAAATCAGGGGCCAGGCCTGTCCTCCAAGGCCTGGTCTTGCCAAGAGATGGTCGCGTTTAGGGCACTCTCACTCCCCTTCTGGATGAAGCAGGAGACCAAGATTTGGGAGCTAGTGGGGAGGATGAGTGGTGGGGGGGGTTGCAGCAAGAGCGGA